CTTCTGACAAGCCCTGGATTCCACAGCTGGGCTAATTGGGATGTGAGTGTCAGTTAGGCCCACTCTCCAGGTAAGTGGCTCACCTCTGCATGTCACCTGCATGGCACAGACGCCCTCTAATGTCATCTCATTTGAGCCTTAGGACAACCTGACCAGGTAGGATATATCGTCCCCACTACAAGTTACTTGAAATGATGGTCTTCCAAGGTTGATCAAGAATATTTGAAACCACAAATGATGAGTAAATCCTAGAACACTAATTGTCTTTGCGGTAACTTTCAGTTTTGACACACATGGCATTTATTGGCTGCTCTGACTTCCCCGCTGGAAATGCCAGTGACCTGTGAGCATCTGCCTCAGCCAACACAGCCTCGCTCCCACTATAAGTTTAACCCAGGAACGCAAGGAGTCAGGCTTTGAGAAAGAGAGGAGCAGTGTGTCCTTGCTGGTTCCAGGCTTTGATAAACCCTGTGGCTATAAGATTGTGTGAAGGCGTAACAGCAGTGGTCCTTGTCCCCAAGGATGAGATGTTGGTGACAGTGTGAGAAGTCAGAGACCCAGAAGCACAAGGACATCTGGAAAGGCCCCAGCTCTGAGCCATGGCTCTATTTTCCATGCCTACTTTGATCCCATGTGATAACCTGCCATGGATATATACCTCCTAGGCTTTAACTGAATATAAATTCATTAAAAAGTGATTTATTTGGCAACTGCTAGGTGTCCTTCCTGTGTGCCGGACTACAGCAGTGCTTGATATATCGATATAGACAACGCCCCGTCTTACAGAGTTCACCTAGTGGAGGGAACCATGTAATGAGTAAGCATATGTTAGCTAGTGATAGGCTAGGAAGAAAATTAAAGCAGGGCAAGTATACAGAGAAAGAATGTGTCTGTGTGTGTGTGTGTGTGTGTTAAGTGATGGTGATGGGTGCTTAGCAAGCGTGGTCAGGGAGGCCTTTGGTAAGGTGAGGGAGGAGCTGTGGGGAGACCTGGAGCAAGAGTGATTTAGGCAGTGGGAACAGAACATGCCAAGGTGCAGCAGCAAGAGGCACAGCTCAGGATGCAGCTCAGGTTGTGTCTGTAGTCCCCTAGGCCCACCCAGTGCCAGGTGTGTTACAGTCTAGCACATCTTACTCTAAACCCACCTGCCAGCACTGGTCTCTACAGAAAGGGAGTCATTTCATTGGAAAAAATTATTACCATTGCCCTCAAGTCAGAGAGTCAGTTCCTTATCTGGAATTGACTGGCCTTGAATGCCACACCTTGGAATTATAGACCTACTAAAACGAACTTTTGATTAGTAATTGAATTCTCCGGTTGCATTGAATCTTGACCCTTAATTCCAGTAAAGACTCAGAACATGGACAAAAAGTGGAGTGGACAGCCCCAAGATCAATACCAAGTGTTAGCCATCCAGAATCCTAGCATTTGTTGACTTCTCAAGTCCTTTTGCAGACTAAATAGTAGAGCAAGCACTAAGTCTTTTCTCTCTCCCAGCTCTTTCAGCTACACTCACTGCACCCAGCTTCAGTAGGTCAAGTCCTGGGAGAGAACAGTGATATTCAGAAGTCTTATTGTCTTTGGGATTACTGTAACATTGTAAGAACACACTCCAGATAGAGTGAGCCTAGAATGAACTCCAACAAAACATTCCATTAATATAATAATAGCTAATTCTTGTTTTTATTTGCCAGACACAGTCTAAGTACTTTACATATAGTAACATATTTAATCTTCATAGCAACTTTATATATTAATATTAGCTACTGTTATTATCTCCAATTTATAGATGGGGAAACTGAGGCACAGAGAGGTTAAGTAACTTACCTAAACTTACACAGCTCGGAAGTAGTGAAAGGCTCCAAAGCTGATGCTCCTTAATCACTATTACTATTACTCCTCTATAAGTAATATGTATCATCAATATAAACAAAAGTACCACATATGGTGATCATCATTCTATATTTCAATTTTTGTTATATTGGAAATTTTTCACAATGAAAAGTTGGAAGGAAATGAGACGCTACCCCTCAGTTTTTATGATATATGTGAATTCGTGGATCTTAGTACATTTCATGTGAATCATACCTGCTTACCTCGGTGTCTCCTAGGTAATTTGGAAATTAAAATAGATTTTTCTAAAAGACTAATTTAAAAAGAAATTTGTGGTAATTTTGAGTACCTGTTGTTTGCCAGATACTGAGCTAGGTTCCAGCCTTCATGATCGAGCTGCAAGAGACGGGGGACCTAAGGATTACTCAGTCCAGTGATTTCCATGCTGTGCTGCAGGACTGTCATGGGAGGAAGGAAGCACTCTGGCTTTTTCCCACCCCCACACATACCCCTCTCTACCCCCAGGGCTGAGGGGCTCTGAGTTCTACCAGCCTTTCTTTGGTTGAAGGAAAAGTTCTACATAAAAAAAAAAAAAAAAATTGAAAGCTACTAATTTAGTCCAGTTCACTTCATGTTAAAGGTGAAGAACCTGAATCTCAGAGAAGTTAGTGAATCCCAGAGCTAGGTCTAGAACTCAGATCTATGGAAAAAAATGCTCTGTTTTTACCATGCTGGTGTATGTTTCCTGTTTGGAATTTCATAACATGTTTTGATGGGATAAAATATTTGTCTCATATGTGCTTGCAGTAGTGAAAGTCAGCATTGCTGGGAAAAATAAAGAATACATTGCACCTATATATTTCAAGTCAGTGATTTAGGAAGGAATATACCGAGAAAGTCTATGTTGATCCCGAAAAGTCTTTTGAGAAGTTTGTCAGCTAGGAGGTGACTTTATGGGCCTAACAATAAAAAATTTGTTGACATTTAGGAGACAAAGTTGCAATCATGATTTATGATCTGAAGGAACTGTTTACCAGCCAGCTCTTCTTTTAAAAGCAATTCTTTGAGGTAGTTGTCCAACCCCTACTTGAATATATCCAGTGACAGGGAGCTCACTACTGTCCTCTGCCATTTTTGAACAGCTTTCAGAGTTAACAACTAGGTGAAAGTTTTGCTTGTTGACTCCCCATATCCTCAGATTCCATCTTCCCTTAAGTTTCCTACCCTTTTATTTGTGAAATCGCTACAAGTTAAAGAAAATATAAGTCTCTTCTCATTCTCGCCACAGTGTTTCGGTCTGGTGGAAACACCAAGCAAATTCATCTTTAATTATCACTGATCTGTTGTAAACTTGGACCATTCTATCCCCTCTGTTCCTGCAGGTCCCCATTAGCACCGAGATCGAAGGGATGAACATTTTAGGATTGGTCCTTTTTGCGCTGGTGTTAGGAGTGGCCCTAAAAAAACTAGGCTCTGAAGGGGAAGATCTCATCCGTTTCTTCAACGGCTTCAACGAGGCGACGATGGTGCTGGTGTCGTGGATTATGTGGTGAGTGCTGCCCCGCCATCTACTCTCCCTCTCATTTCTCCTACCATCCAGAAAAGAACCCAACTTTGCTGTTCTAGGTCACCCCTGTGGGCCACCTGGCCCAGTGCTCTGGATGAGGTCGATGCACCACAGGCCAGTCTTGGTACGAGGGATGATGGAAGTGGAGACGGTTTCTCCTCTCGTCCAGGACCTCAGAGAATCGGGCATGCACAGTCACCAGTCACATCCTTAGTGCCCACACTGACCTCTTGGTGGTTTTATCACTGTGATCAATTTATGGGTTCCTACCATCAGCCCATGGCATATGGGATGTCCATATATCATCTTGTGGGGCAATGAATTCCATCAGTTTGCTATCTGCTACATAAAATGAGGCTCACTTATCTTAAAAGGATAGACTTCAAGCTTCAAAGTGATCTTTTACTTAGTATTTCACAGCATGGAGGACAAGTCCATCTTTACCCCACGCACATATAAATGTGGAATGGTATTCTTTTAGTAGGCTTTTAATTCATAGAAGTTTCTTTGTGTAATATCAATGAAAGGATGATTGTTCAGTAAAAACCATTCAATTGATTACTGGCTAAAAAGTAGAAATCTGACCAGCTCCCTCGAAGCAGCTTCTCAGAAATCTTACCAATTCCACTAGCAGTCCCTCATAGCTTTGTCCTGCTGTTTTACCCAAAGCAGACTCCTGCGGGTTTCAGCTTCTACCCACTGGTTGTTAAAAACTAGTTTGTCCTTTCATGCACAAAGCATTCTCCTTATTTTCAACCCTTAACGATCCCCAAACTTTTCTCTCTCAGATGGAGTTGGGTGACAGCTGGACTGATTTTAGGCGGTTTGAAATTGAGTGGGGGGCCAAGTGTAAGGCCTCCACCAGTGGTGTTTCTTTCACTTAACCCAAAACTTCCAAAGCCTGACTCTATCATTGCAAACACGCCACTTATATATGACTGTAGTTGTAGGGAAAGATTTTTTTTTGGAAAGGCAAAAGGGTTTTCGTCAGATGTCAAGTTTTTTTCTTGGCTTTTTTTTTTTTCTTAGTTTAAAATCCTTCTAAAGTTTGACTGAAGAAAAGAAAGTGATATTCCCATAGTAGGACATTTGTTTTCAATCTGGAAACCGATTTAGTCATTCCTCCAATTAGATGTACTGGTCACGCAAGCAGGTGTTTGGTGAGTGAGGTCCTGCTGTGTATCTAACTGCAGGGAGAGAAAGTACTTATTAGTATTACACAGAATTGGTGTTTTAAATGCTTTAACTGGTTAAGGGATCTCAACCAAGTGTGAGAGGAATCTTCAGCAGTAGCTCTTTCTGCTTTCTTTCCTTCACTGATTATCTGCTCCAAAACCAAAGCACCTGCCTACCCTACACTATCCACAGAAATAACTTCTAAATGGATTAGACTCAGGGTCAGCAAGCTTTGCAAGCCATATGGTCTGTATTGTGACTACCCAACTCTGCTGTTGTAGGAGGAAAGCACCCATAAGCAATTTGAACATGGTTGAGCGTGGCTATGTTCCAAAACTTTATGTGCAAAAATCCACACTGCTAACTCCTGGATTAAACTAACCAGGAGGAAGGAAGAAAGGAAAGAAAGGGGAATCCTGTAAAAATATCAGAAGAAAATACAGGAGCAGGGAAAGTTTTCCTAAAGAAGATATAAAAAGCAAAAGCCAGGCCAGGCTCAGTGGCTCACACCTGTAATCCCAGCACTCTGGGAGGCTGAGGCGGAAGGATTGCTTGAGCTCAGGAGTTTGAGACCCCCTGAGTAAGGGCAAGACCCCAGCTCTATTAAAAATAGAAAAATTAGGCCAGGCGTGGTGGCTCACGCCTGTAATCCTAGCACTCTGGGAGGCCGAAGAGGAAGGATAGCTCGAGGTCAGGAGTTCAAGATCAGCCTGAGCAAGAGCGAGACCTCATCTCTACTAAAAATAGAAAGAAATTAATCGGACAACTAAAAATATATAGAAAAAATTAGCCGGGCATGGTGGCGCATGCCTGTAGTCCTAGCTACTTGGGAGGCTGAGGCAGGAGGATCGCTTCAGCCCAGGAGTTTGAGGTTGCTGTGAGCTAGGCTGACAAAACAGCACTCTAGCACAGAGCGAGACTCTGTCTCAAAAAAAAATTAAAAAGTAAAAAATAATAATAAAAAGCAAAAGCCATCAAAACCTGCTAAATTTGACCACATCAAAATATAAGAAGTCTGCATACAAAAGATACTTTGAACAAAGTTAAAAGTCAAGACACTTACTGAAAAAAATTTATATATATCTATATATTTACATACTATATATGTAGAAATAAAGAGTTCTGATTACTGAAAAAGAAAAAAGACTGAATAAACTATTAGAACATGGACAAAGTATGTGAGCAGGCAATTCAGAGAAGAGAAAACCTGAACAAACAGTAAACGTTTTAAGGGATGCCCAAACTCATTAGAAATCAGGGAAATGAGAATTTGGTTTTATCAGGCATTGGTAAAGGTAAGGCACTTTTGGCATTTGGGGCTGATCAATTTTTGTCGTGGACAGCTGTCTTGTGCACTGTAGGATATTTAGCAGCATCATGGTTTCCACTTAATAGATGCCAGTAGCACCGTTCCCCTAAAGTTGTAACAATTAAAGCTGTCTTCCAGACATTGCCAAATGTCTCCTAGGGGCAAAATCAACCTTGGATGAGAACCACTGGTACGGAGGGAGGATTATTCTCTTGGACTGCTGGTGGAAATGTGATTTGAACAGTCACTTTGGAGAACAACTGGGCAGTATCTACTAAAATTTAAAGTGTGCATACCCCATAGCTCAGCAGGTCCATTTCTTGGCGTCCCTACCTAGAAAACACAAACATGTGGGCACAGAGGCAATTTGCAGTGTTGTTTGTAATGATGGAAACAATTTAAACGTCCACCAGCAGGACAATGACAAAATAACCTATGATATTTCTATTCTGAAGACAATTATTTAAAAATAATGAGGTAAAAGTGTCCAAGTATCTATCAGTGGATGAATAGATTTAAAAAATGTAATATATGCATACAATGGAATATTATTCAGCCTTAAAAAGGAAAGCAATTCTGACACATGCTACAATGTGGATGGACCTTGAAGACATTATCCTAAGTGAAATAACCCAGACACAAAAGGACAAATACCGTATGATTCCACTTTTGTGTACCTAGAATAGTCAAATTCATAGAGACAAAAAGTAGGATAGTGGTTACCAGGAGCTGGGAGGAAGGGAACTGGGAGATTATTGTTTAATGAGTACAGAGTTTCAGTTTGGGATGATGGAAAAGTTCTGGCACTGGATGGTGGTAATGGTTGCACAACGATATGAATGTACTTAATGCCATTGAACTATACACTTGAAATGGTTAAAATGATAAATTTTATGTTATGTATTTTTTAGGGTATATAGGGTAGATTTCTATATATTGATATGAAAATATCTCAAAGACATAATTTAGGGTGAAAAATAAATATATAGATTTAAATACATACCTACATATCTAAATACATAGAAAATAGGAGTGGTTATCTGAGGAGGGCCTTGGCTTGAGGATGTTGCCTAAAAGGATTTTGGTCTAATCTGTAATATTTTAATTTTTTGAAAGGAGAATGTATTCACGTATTACTGTGGGATTTAAAATTGTTAATACTGCTTAGAATATCTCTAGAAAGAAAACCCAAGAAACCAATGCCATTGGCTGTCTCCAGGAAGGGAAAAACTGGGGGTTGGGAGACAGAGGTGAGAGGGAGACTTCACGCTATTCACCCTTTTGTACCCCTGGAAGTTTGAACTATATGACATTATTGCCTATATAATTAAAATTTACAAATAAAGTAAATGGTTATAAAATTCTTCCTGAATTTATCTTAAATTCAAAACAACTGACTTTTGTTCTTTGTAACTCCCACGATTCATTCCTTCCCAGCTTGCCTTTAAAAAAATCTTCACGTGCCAGGCGTGTTCCCAGAGTGCCATTATTAGTGACTTTTTCCCACGGGATCATGTTTTCCAAACCACAAAGAATTTAAAACTTCACCAAAGTCTCAGCTTTGGCTCCATTTTGTATCACTGCAATTCGGTGAAATAGGTACTAGCCTTTTGTGTTTCTAAGTTCTCAGAACAAGCCTGAGCAAAGCCCAAAGTCAAGCTCACAGTCCCAGAGGCTTTGACCTTGAGTGCCTTGCCTTTCCACCTGGGAGTCCAAGTGGTTGGTAGCATCCATCTGTTAAGAACATACTGTATCCAAGGGGAAAGAAGTCTGGATTCTGATCCTGACTCTGTTACCCATAGTGAGTGATCATCTTCGTTTTACTCAGTCTTATGGCTTGTAAAATGGGGATGGTATTTCTGTTTCTCAGGGTTATCCTAGGGAGAGATGAAGGTGACCTAGTTCAAAGTCCCTGCATTCTGCTACAGGAAGGGCCTGCAACTCCCAACCTCAGCCTCCTCACCCTTACCGACGAGTGCCCTGTGCTTACGCCCTAGGTACGTGCCTATCGGCATCACGTTCCTCGTTGGAAGCAAGATTGTGGAAATGAAGGACATCATCGTGCTGGTGACCAGCCTGGGGAAATACATCTTTGCATCTATATTGGGCCACGTTATTCATGGAGGAATTGTTCTGCCACTTATTTATTTTGTTGTCACACGAAAAAACCCATTCAGATTCCTCCTGGGCCTCCTCACACCATTTGCAACAGCATTTGCTACCTGTTCCAGGTGAGTGGGTTTTGGGTGCTATTAGCTGCTCCAAACATATTAATATGGAACTAGGTGAGCCCAGTGGTAGATGCACAATCAGTATCTCAACATATTTTAATTCCTTGAAAACTCTAAACTGGTCTCTCTCTCTCTTTTTTTTTTTTTCCTTTTTTCAGAGACAGGAGTCTTGCTATGCTGCCCAGGCTGGTCTCCAACTCCTGGGCTCAAGCAATCCTCCCGCCTCAGCCTCCCAAGTAGCTGAAACTATAGGCATGCGCCACCATGCCCTGCCTCATATGATTTTTTTTTTAATTACCAGCCCCACAGCCTTTCCGTATTCCTCTGGGTGCGTTTCTATTTCATCTCCTGATCCATTGAGGTTACTTCATTCACTTCTCTCTCTTCTTGCTCCTCATTGATCAGTCAGATCATTAACTATGTCAGCTCTGGATCTCTGCCCTAATTAGGAAAACCTTTGCCTGAATAAAAGGCACAGCCCACCTAACACAAGAAAACACATTGCAGGGAAGTTTCTAGAATGGCTCATGCCCAATTCTCCTTATCTGGAAGTGTGAATTAGAAAATAAGGCCAAGGCGCCATGGTGAGGGATGTGTGCTTAGCTCTCTAGAGGTTCACTATACTGTGGGATTATCTAATTCAGCACAAAAGATACACCTTGTTACTCACTGGACATCCTTCAGAAAAACACTGTTCTTTCCAAACCAGTTAAAGAAAACTTTCAAAGGACGGCAGCACGTGTAGTTTTTGTCTCTCCACTGCTCACTTCCTTCCATCTGGATGGCTATTCATGTGACAAGGAGGTGGTGGTAAAAAAGAATTAGGGAGGGAAGTGTCTCTGGCCTTGGTAAAACAAACAAACCTATTTCTCAGCTGCACCAGCGAACCTCTGCGGAGCCTGCAGAGCCAGCCGGAGGGAGCAGGTCTGTTCTTACCGTTATCCACTTACTCCCTTATTCCTTCCAAACGTGCAGAGCCACTTCTTCTTGGCCTAAAAGAAAAACAACCCACAGTTTACCTTTTACTTTTTCAAGGGGAGAGCATTCAAGAGAGGAGAAGCACACATAGAGTACATAGTTCTTTGTCCTTGGGAACATTTTGCACCAAGAGGCAATGTGTAGGTCTTGAGAAATTTGGAACAGGTGAATCCAAGTAAATACTATAACAAGTAAATCCAGGGAGTCATATTTTGAATACTTCAGGAGTTGCCAAATGCTCTTGTTGTGACAGAAACTTTGAAACAGTTCTGTTTTTTCCCTTATTTCAAGAGAAGAAAGCCAGAAATGAGGGATACTAATTGCTCTATCCCAGAGATGACATGAGTCATGTTAGCCTGGCCGGGAGGGACTGTTCTCATGTCTGGCTGTTTGTTTTTCCCATTTCTAGCTCAGCAACCCTTCCCTCCATGATGAAGTGCATTGAAGAAAACAACGGTGTAGACAAGAGGATCAGCAGGTTTATCCTCCCCATCGGGGCCACTGTGAACATGGACGGGGCAGCCATCTTCCAGTGCGTGGCCGCGGTGTTCATCGCCCAGCTCAACAACGTGGAGCTGAACGCAGGGCAGATTTTCACCATTCTGTAAGTTCCTTATTCTTTCCTGGCTCAAAACTTGAGGTTTTTCTTGTGATTTCCTTTCAAAAACCAATCTCGCCAGAACTCGATGTTTTGTTCGTAAAAAAACAGTAGGGACTCGTTACTTGAGGACAGTGGCTCACGTCTCGCAGGCAGAAGCTGTGGTGGTGTGGTTTTCAGTGTGCAAGCCCTGGCTGCCACGGTCTGCTTTTCTCTGTGCCCACGCCATGCTCTGTGTTAATGGCTGCCCTGCTTTCCTGTCCCCTAGAGTGACCGCCACAGCATCCAGTGTTGGAGCAGCGGGTGTGCCAGCTGGAGGGGTCCTCACTATCGCAATTATCCTGGAGGCCATTGGGCTACCCACTCACGACCTCTCTCTGATCCTGGCCGTGGACTGGATTGTGTAAGTAGCAAGTCCCAAGGACACCAGAAAAAGTCTGTACTGAGTTCCGTAGGAGCTTGACACTGCCAGGTCTGGGGCATGCAGAGAAACTGAAAATCACTCCCTGCCTTGTAAAGGGGCCTGCATTTGAGCAAGGAAGGCAAGATTTGGAGCTAGGAAAAACTAAACAACATGAGAGTCAAATGCCCATGAACATCCACGAATGGCCATGAGATGTCATTGCTGAGAACTTGCCTATAGCATCCAGCAAAGTGAGGATACAAGGCCGAGGCCCTCGGTACAGGCCCAGGGGGTACAGGGGTGTATGGAGTTATTGGCAGCATAGGATTAATAAGCTGTTGGAGCAGTGGTCCTTCAGGAATGATTGTCCCTGGCCTGGAAATGTCCGAGCAGTGATTTCTGTGAAGGAAGAGACGATGAACGATGCTCATGTGAGTGGCTTGGGCTCGGGCTCAGCCGAGGAGGAGTTAGGGAAGGAGGTGTGATCCAGACCGCCTTCCAAACACAAAACAGTTTCTGGGCATTGATTGCTTGGGTTGCATGATACCTTTGGCAGGTATAAATAATACCTGTTTTATAGGGAAGGTCAGCTGAAATTCTCATGTTGAGACAGTAGAGTCTGTGGGTAAGAAAATGAGCTCTGAGCTCTGGAGCCCAGGTGCCTGGGTTCAAATCCCGGCTTTGCCATCCGGGAGTTGTGTAACGTGGACTGTTCTGTGTTTGGTCTGCTCATCTGTAAGATGGGAATGCTAATAGAATCGACACCGGGGCTGTGGCGAAGATTACCTGAGCTGGCACAGGCACAGCACACAGAATACCGAGCGTGTGGTAAAGCATTTGGTAAACATTAGTGAAGAAAGACACTCCTGGCCGGGGTAGTCACAGCCAGGCATGAGAGGACGTGAACACAAGTGCCTGGCACAGGGCTCACGGACCTGCCCATTGTGGTGGGCAATGGCAGTTTTCCCAACTTACATGGGCTTCTCGGAATCCCGAGGGCTCCTGAGAGCAGTGAGGGTGAAGTGTGCAGCAGACACTCGCACTGTCCAGACCCCTCATCAGAGGGAGTCTGTTCCTGAGCTGGCTGGCTGGACAGGACCAGAGCCGTGACAGTGGCCCTGTCTCCTTCCCCACCCAGCTGCCTCCTGTGCATGGAGAAGGGGCACCAAGAGGTTCTTGGCCAGGAATAGGGAAACAGAGCACCAAGCTGCCTGCCCAGTACAGACCCGAAGGTCCTGCAGCCACCCGTGGCCTCTAATTCGACAGCCAACTGCCCTCTGCGGGGCTTCAGCTCCCCACCGCCCTTAGGGAAGACCACGTGTCTCCCCTCGCTTCACAATGTGTACAACACTTTCTCTGAGCTCCAGGGACGGGGGCTGGCTATTGGGCTAATCTGTAGCAAGACAAGTAAGCTTCTAGAAAGGACAGTGCTATTTTTCTGTGAGGTGGTGGTTGCCGACAGCGTGGAACGTATATGAAGATTAATGTCCAGTAGTGAAGCAGGGTTGAAATGAGAAAAACAAGGGAAATGTAATGCCAAGTGGAAGAAAAACTAGACACAAAACCATATCTATGCTATTATCCCAATACATGTAAGTTTTATGAGATGGCATCTATCACATATAAAATACATGCAAAACAGACCAAATGTTAATCCTGATTCACTGAGAGTTGTGGACTATGGGTGAGTGACTTGTTTGCTTCTTTATACTTCTCTTCTCCCCAAGTTTTCTACAATGAGCGTCTATTGCTTTTATAAGAATAAAAAACATTCCAAGAAAATCAATTTAAAGTAAAGCCTAATGCCCTTGGAAGTGTGCACATCACAACTTTTCCGTGGCATCCTGGCTGCCCGTGACAGGGCCGCTCCCCCGCAGCTCCCGGCTGTGCTGGATGTGACGCCTCCCTTCTTCTTTCCTCGCCAGGGACCGCACCACCACGGTGGTGAACGTGGAAGGCGACGCCCTGGGCGCAGGCATTCTCCACCACCTGAATCAGAAGGCGATGAGGAAAGGGGAGCAGGAACTGAGCGAAGTGAAAGTGGAAGCCGTCCCTAACTGCAAGTCTGAGGAGGAGACGTCGCCCTTGATGACACACCAGAACCCCGCTGTCCCTGCAGCCAGCGCCCCGGAACTGGAATCCAAGGAGTCAGTTCTGTGATGGGGCTGAGCTCTGGGCTCGCCTGCCAGCAGTGGCGCCCCGCCCTGGTAGCGCAGCTGCAGGACATGGACACGGGCACTGCCCTCGCTGACTTTTAGCCTCCCGAGCAATGCTTTGGCCCATCACTGGTCTGAGGATTACCTCTCAGCACTCACACTGGTTCCCCAGTGGGAACTGGTCACCGAGGACCAGGCCACTCTGACATTTGGCTTGATCCATGTGCAGGTGCCACTGTGTGTACACCAGGGCTCTGCTGGGAAACACCCCCTTGAGCTGCCAGACTTGGGAAATAACAGGCTTCTGGGGTCCTGGTTAAAGCTTGGAAAAATGCAGGTGTATTCTTCACTGCCCCATCAGCTCTGCAGTGGGTGCTTTCTGGGCAAGCCAAGGGGGTTCACGGTCCATCTGTTGTATTGCCTCGAGTTGTAGTGATTAGAAAAATTCCCAAATTCTTAGCTGTGGCTGGAATTTGCTGAGCTGAGACTCAGGTGTTTAAAGAGTTTGTGCTACAGCTAGGTGTGTGGGCTTCGCAGGATGCTGGGGGACCAGAGGCAGGCACCGTGTCAAGTTAGAAATATTCGGGGTAGGCATTTGCACTGCTGGGGTCTCTGGTCAGTAGCCTTAAGTAAACAATGTAAATTCTGAGGTCAAAGGAGAGAGTGCAGCCTGTGGGGTGTGTGTGTGTGTGTGTGTGTGTGTGTGTGTGTGTGTGTGTGCGCCCTAGTTAGGACAGAGGCACACACACAAATGTCCCTGTTTCCATCCCAGCACTGGGGCACTTTTCTGCTTCCAGGGCCTGGGCCTCTGACAACACTGCAGCTTCATCTCCATTCACCCTGATTTGGCAACAGGCCAAAGCAGGGCCTCCTCCTCTGGAGAGGTGTGATGTAATCATCACATCCAGGACCCTTGTTGGTTTATCAATCTATTATTGTAATTCCCTAAAATGCTGTGTTGCAGCAAAAACAAAACTACCCCCCACCCAAATAAACCCATGTACTAATTGGGATAGAGTAACCCCATTCCTGGGTTCCCAGGCTTTGGCTGACTTCCACAGATAGCTGCCTTTCTTGCCAGTACATCAAAGTCTAAGATGATCAGCAAAACAGTCCACGTTCCTCTAGTTACCTGCTGACTCAGTTCTAATCCAGGTGAGGGGCTTTCGTAGAGAAGACAGCATGTTGCCAGCAAGCGGGAAGACCTAAGGGCCTGCTGTCTGCCTGTAGCCGTTGGTGTGTATCCATGGTGTGACCCATAGCAGGTCCTGGGCCTCACTTTACTCAATTTGTGAAATGGGGCTAACATCGTCTGCCTCTTACCTACCTCAGAGGGGTTTGGTGAGGCAAACTCTGTAAATCTGTGAAAAACAACCATTTTGCTTCTTAGGTATTCAGTGCTGACACCGAATGGTCTTCTTTTACCTAAGTGACAGCTTTCTCCACGGAGGCCTCCTGGTGAAGACAGTGTTTACGAGCAGGGCTTTGTTGTCCTTGTGCATTGGAACTTTTATCATGCCATTTGTTCTCTTTGTAGGTACTTGATGTCATCACATGTAGCCTCTTCCTGATGTCCTTCAAGTTTTAATGAATTAGCTACCCCACCTTCCCACATTTCCAGGTACCTGACTTCGCTGTGACTCCCAGACTCGGGCACTGTTTCTGCCACCCCACAAAAGGCCATTAACGTCTTCGATGTTCGGCCTCAGTCATTCCCTCGCTTTCCCTGCTGTTGTGGGCCCTACAAACGGGGTACACACCTTTGCTGTGTGTGCACCGTCATGATGAGCCCGGGCAGATGGGAAAGAGACAATCAAGTGCCCCCCATTTTAAAACTGGGGGCACGTGCCTGCATGGAAGGGTGGGGAAGAGCCCCTGGGTACAGAGTTGACCCAGCCAGCGGGAAGGCCCAGCTCTCCTTAAACCAGCTCAGCCACTCCAGTCTCCTGCGAAGCCAGGAGTGACCAGGAATGAGCAAAGGTGCCTGGGAACTTTCACCCTTGGAGCCTGTTGCTGATACCCTTCTGTTCTCAAAGGGGAAACAATCATATTGTTCGATTCCTAACTGCAAATGAACATTCACTATTTTTCAGACTTCAGTGAATCTTTTTTCTTCTTCCATATACATGTGTATGTATACATAAACACATATGTATATCTTTAAATACATACACACAAAAAACACATATATGTGTGTGTTGCGTGTGTGTACAGTTTCAGCTCCAATCCAAGCAAGTTTGAGTTTGGATAGAGGTGAATTTAACTACAAGTTGTATGTCTTTGGTATCTTGATTTTCCCATTTCTAAAGATGAATTTCACAAAGTGTAGAAGTAGAGGTGGACAGTAAGACTCATTGCTGACCACCCCATATCCTGGCCTGGCCCTGCAGTAGGAAGAGCGCCGCGGTCTGGAGATGGGTGCTTCTGTGTAACAGTCAGCTCACCCTTCCCCTGGGAGGCAAGAAGAGGAGAGAGACGGTGCCCTGTCTCCCCCTGGTTTTCAGTACACAGCGAGTCAGCAGACCAGCAGCAACCGGCTGGGGAAAATCTCACTTCTCATTGTTGGGAAACGTCTCTGTTGTTCTCTTTCTAACATGTTGTCATTAATACTGTTCAAATACTGTTCATCTTTGACTGTTTTGTACGTGTGACACTTGCCTTAAAACATAGCACAGTCCTCAAAAATGAATACAGTATTTCTATTGGGATCCTTGTTTCTCTCTTGTGTTTTAAGTGGCACATGCCAATGGAGCTATTGCTCTTCCGGGGACAGCCTATGGATGGCTGAAGGGATTGTTTTCCTTGCTCCTTTCATGGACATGAGCCCCTGAGGCAGGGCAGGTATGCTTTGGTGGGCACCCCTGCTGCAGGGGCTGATGTCACTGATCCTTCTGTGGCCACCAGCTTGTGACCGGGGAATGTCAGGCTGCTTAGGGCTCCCACGCCACACTAGCACGGCTCTTGCAAAAAGTGTGCAGTTTTGCCACCTACCTCCATAAAGTTACGTTTGTCAGGACGACTAAGTTGACAGACCTTAACTAAGCATCTACTGTCAGCCAAGTGCCAAGCAGGAATAACAAGGACGAATGCCCCAGGCCACAGAATCACTGGGGCAGTCCCTGAAAGAGAGCAGCTGCCCATGCCTCTACCATGGCCACCAGCACACCCAGCCCACTTTTATATAATCTCGTTTTCAATGACACCACATTCCAGCACAATTAGGGGATCTGAAAGCCTCTAATAACAGGATTATCCTGCAAACTCACATTGGAAGCTTTGGTTTCCGGACTCTGGGGCCTCTGAAGAAACAGATCCTGCTCTGACCTGGACATTTCCAGCTCTTCATATAATACAGGAAATGGTGTTAATTGTTGGATGAGGAGAGAGTTTGCACAGATCAGGGGCCTGATGGAGCCTGTTAGGAACAACGGTTTGGATTCCTACCCTGCAGTGTGGCTGCCTTGATTTGCTTCCGTGGAGAGAGTTCGCAGGTTTGGAGAGAGTACTCGGTGATTCAGCTTTTCCATGTAACCAAATCAAGAGAAGCAATTCCACATGCTCAAGCCATCTCTTCCCAGGTGACCAGAAGGAGCACTGATCTGGTGGGCCACTTGAGCCTGCGCAAAGGAACTTTCAATTACGTCGGCAAACAGCAGAGACGGTGTAATGAGGAGGAACATGGGCTGTCTGGGTTCTAGCCCCAGCTCTGCCACTTGCTTGCTGTGTGACCCTGGGCACAATAACCTCTCTGTGCCTCACTCTCCTCATATTCAAAATGGGGAGAATAATTGCAGCAATGGCATAGGCTACTGTAAGGATTAGATGAGTTAGTACGTATGGAGTGCTCTGAAAAGCACCTGCCACATGGAATGTGCAGTGTCGGTGTTTGCTTTCAAGTCAGACACAGTGGCTGGAAAGGTTCCCAAGCAGCCTGTGTCTGGACCCAACAAGTGGCATACATGCATTTGATCCCTTTGCCTCTTGGAGAGACAGAGAGGAAGACCTATCTCAACTCGTGGGCCCCTCTGCCCATCCCTGCCTGTATAGTAAGGAGTGTGTATCTGTTGTGAACATTTGGTTCTAAAAATGTTTAGACAACTGTTTAAAAGAAAGGAGGCTTGGTAAACAATTTTTAGGATGCACTTGAATGTCCTTTTCTCACAAAAGAAGCTTTCCATTCACTATTGTCTCCCTTTAGCTATATCCTTCCAAGTTGCAATCCAGGATGCAGATTAATTCCTTGCAACACCCTGTCTTCTAGACAGGGATTGACTCTCAGCCCACACTCGACCCCTTATTCATCACACTTTCAGGGAAGGCCTGTCTACAGGCCTGGGTGTTTGCGTTCTGGTCTACCTTCCCATCTCAGGACCCTTGCCTCACAGGCCCTGTTACTTGGGGCTCTCGGTGAGTGAGAGAGTACATAGCAAGAGGGAGAATCTTAAGTCACTTGAAATAAAATGTCACCCTCTCAGAGGAAGACAGCCATGAGTCCCCACTGGTTTTTCATCTTTTCAGAGAGTTGGAACTGAGTATCCTAAAATTTCTCAAATCAGATTCTCAAACCTGAATTATTTATCTTCAGAGAGATATATCAAAGAGTGTTGGGCTGGATTTTTAGTAGATTTAGGGTTATTTAGAGCAAGACATGAAACTGAAATGATATCCTTGGGATTCTTAGTGTGGTTTATAACAGATAAACTCATTCCAGGGTACAACTGTCCCCAGGCTGTGCCTTTAGGGGAAAAGAAAACCATGCATAAAGCACAGAAGTCTTCCTTCTTTGAAGAAATAGCTCCAGGGGTATCCTGAGGTCAGTAAAGATTCAGTGTCACTTCCCTTTTTTGCTAAAATAATAGCTTTATTGGGATTTAATCTACACACCATAAAATCCATCCTTTTAATGTATATGATTCAGTGGTTTTTAGTACATGCACAGAGTTGTGCAACCATCACAACAATCTAATTCCAAAAGATTTTCATCACCCCGAAAAGAAACTACTAATCTACTTTCTGTCTTTATGGATTTGCCTATTCTGGACATTTCACGTAAATAGGATCATAACATCTTTTCCCTTTAATAGATATATTCCAGATAAAGAGAATTGATGTTCAAAATGTAGCCACTGTCCACTTTCCCACTACACCCCATTCTCCCCACACACACCCAAAGGGGACCCTGTAAGCTAAGATCCTCTTAATCATCAAATACAGGTTCAATCATTTTAGTCTGTTCTGTTCTACATCTATTCAGAAAGATTTTTTTTTCATAAGGAGTCGGACGAAAAAAAAAAAATTGTGGTTAATGGATCAACCCAAACACTTAACTAATTAGAAGAGCCTTTTGTGTAAACCCATATAACTGATGAACGTCCATAAATCTAGACCACATGCTAAGTTAAAATGTAGTCTAGATCCAGGAAACTGGTTGTGTTAACACTGGTGGGACTGCAACATCGCGCAGTTCCATGGGGTATCATCCACATCAAGTTGTGTGCGTGGCCGGGCGCGGTGGCTCATGCCTGTAATCCTAGCACTCTGGGAGGCCGAGGCGGGCGGATCGTTCTGAGCTCAGGAGTTCGAGACCAGCCTGAGCAAGAGCGAGACCCCGTCTCTACCAAAAAATGGAAAGAAATTAATTGGACAGCTAAAAATATATGTAGAAAAAATTGGCCGGGCATGGTGGCGTGTGCCTGTGGTCCCAGCTACTCG